GTGCATTAGGGAGTGGATAAAGAAATCAGCATAAATGCTGACTTGGCCAGATGCCTGTGGCCCATTTCAGCCCGTAGTTTTGTTTATTATGCAAAATATTGCAGCCGAAAATGATGCACCTCTTTTCCTAGATGTGTTGGTGTGGAGTAATGATCGAGTTATCCGCTGGATCCAAGCAATTGGCCTTCGAGAATATGCAAATAACATCCTTGAGAGTGGAGTGCATGGCTCACTGATAGCCCTGGACGAGAACTTTGACTACAGCAGCTTAGCTTTGTTACTGCAAATTCCAACCCAGAACACCCAGGCAAGCCCTCTGAGCGGCAGTGCCCTCATTTACATCATAACAAGCTGAACTTTAGGGGGGAAATGTTGGCTGGGTATTAATGATTCCTAAGGAGATTTAGCTCAAATATGTCACTGGGGCTTCCATTTCAAGTTACTGAATTTCTATCCAAAACAAAATCATACAATTAAGCTGGAAGTCATTTGGAGGTTATGTGGTCCAACCTCGCACCAGAATGCCAGATTCCCCAAAACAGTGTCCCTGACAGATGGCCTTGGTCCCTGCCTCTCTTAGAGGCAGTCATTTCTATTTACATATCTGAATTATGCAGACACTTAGCATTGGGGATGCCATGGATTCCCAAATCTGGATAATTATTTAAATCACCGGAGTTCCTAAAAATTTTAAAATAAAACCTGCAACCTGTATCACAGGCCTAATAAGTCGGGTATCAAGAGATAAGTCACAAGAATTTTACTTATCTAAAAGTTTTCCCAATGGTAATCATTGACCAGGTTTGAGAACTTCCTGCCTAGACTTGTCCAAAATTCCGCAGTCTAACTTCACTTTTTATTTTGTTTTTATGTATTTCAAGGTTTATAGAAAGGTTTCCATTTCAATAGAGTAGCAAAGTGAGGACATTTGTATGAGGCTATTTCTCTACTGTTCATAGATGAAAGCAAGTTGCCCTACCTTTTATTTATAGGTTAAATTTACAATGGCTTGTAGACATGGAGGAATAAAACCTTAAGACTCCATACATGAGACAGGGTTTGGAATACTTTCTCAGATAAATATAATCTCTATTTTTTTTAAATGCAATGTGACCTCAGTGTTGGTGACTGTTATTTGATGTCAACAGGCCAGGCAGATTCTTGAAAGGGAATACAATAACCTCCTGGCCCTGGGAACCGAGCGGCGACTGGATGAAGTAAGTCCTTATCTCTCATTCAAAAGGATCTTGCGAGTACAAGCAAAATGGCCTTCAAGGCATAGTACCCCAAAATTAATCAGATGCTTGCTCCATGGATAGGATCTAGAATTTCCCTCAGTATTGTTCCTAAATATTACATTTTATTACTCATTTTATTTTTGAAAGAACTTCATGAATTCGTAAATGTTATCATATCAACAGTCAGAAACACTAAGATGTAATTCAAAACAAGACTGTTTTTCATGAGCTGTGAATGCAAAATAACATTAAGCGACAGTTTTTAAAAAATTGTAAGTAATGATAACACCAGTCCTAATAAGTTTAGCTTTTAATAAGAAATGTGCTTATTTCTTAAATATCAGTATATCTTCACAGGAAATTTTAGGATATTAAAATGAAGAAAACGTCTTTGAATAAGTGGGGAACTTTTCATAATTTTAGGTAGCAATATTGAGTGTTCCTTAAAAACATAATAACATTTTACCAGTTGTAGGATTTGAGTGTAAGAATCCCTATACATCATATTTGCGTGTTTAAACGATTTGAAAAATAATAAACATCTAAGTAGCCTCTTGAGATGGAAGAAATACAAGGGACCTGGCACGGTAGCTCAGTTGGTTATAGTGTCATCCCGAAATGTCAAGGTGGCAGGTTTGATCCCTGGTCAGGGCACATACAATAAACCAATAAATTCATAAATAAGTGGGACAACAAGTTTATATTTCTCTCTCTCTCTCTCTCTCTCTCTCTCT